CTTCAGGCAAAGTTGCTGAACTGCTGTAGTCAGACTAAAGTAGGAAGCACAGAAGGACTTCTGAAATGACATTCTATCAACAGGAGAGTGCCTGTCTCTCTTCTTTTCTTCTTTTACTTTAAACTACGCTGTAAGGTTAAGAAAAGGTAAGAGGGTTTTAGAGGCTTTTGCCTGCAGTATAATGGATGAAAGAACTGCAGAAAATGGGAGAAAAATTTCGGGAAATTTTTCTGAGCCCCAACAAAAATGACCAGTCATGAAAAAATCTGTGAAACTGAGACTCTTATGGTGTAACTAAGTAAATTGCTAACAAGACTGAGATAGGCTATGTGAGCAGTTCAGATGTGACTGTCCCTGGTACTGTGCACTTTTTCACAATTCATGTTGATTTTGAATACTAATTTTAGATAAAGAAATGTGTTTTTTATGTAAACATTGTAAAGGGTCAAAAAATTATGCATGAGGTGTACCTTATGGTGATTCATTGGAGTAAGAATGACAGGATGTTCCTACTGTGTGCAGTGGTGATGAACATAGTAGTAAGAGACTAGCTGTAGCATAATTTTTCCTTTCTTTTCTTTCTTTCTCTTTCTTTCTTTCTTTCTTTCTTTCTTTCTTTCTTTCTTTCTTTCTTTCTTTCTTTCTTTCTTTCTTTCTTTCTTTCTTTCTTTCTTTCTTTCTTTCTTTCTTTCTTTCTTTCTTTCTTTCTTTCTTTCTTTCTTTCTTTCTTTCTTTCTTTCTTTCTTTCTTTCTTTCTTTCTTTCTTTCTTTCTTTCTTTCTTTCTTTCTTTTTCTTTCTTTCTTTCTTTCTTTCTTTCTTTCTTTCTTTCTTTCTTTCTTTCTTTCTTTCTTTCTTTCTCTCTCTCTCTCTCTTTCTCTCTTTCTCTCTTTCTCTCTTTCTCTCTTTCTCTCTCTCTTACTTTCTCTCTTTCTTTCCTTCTTTCCTTCTTTTTCTTGTTTTCAGGCTGGTTTTTGAGCTACAAAGCCCTAGGAACGCCATCTGTCCAATTAATGGTTGTTACAAGGTTTGCATTACCTAATGTAATTAAAATGGAACAATCTTTTAGACCGCCTTTCCTAAGACATAAGCCAAAGTAGAAACCCCTTGTGATGGTGGAAAGATGCCATTCCACCAGGAACACGTGCTGCTCAGCAGCAGGAGGCTCCACACAGCAGTCGACCATCATTATAGCTGTGCATTACAGCCATGCTTCTGGAATGGATGGGAGAAATCTCCTGCCAGGAAAAAGGTGCGTCTGGGAAAGAGTAAGCTACATATTATTTCACTTTAGGTCCTGTAAAAGCCTAACCCGCCACTCTTTGAAGACTAGTACCTGTATTTATGTAAGTGGTATAATGCAGGGAGACCTGTAGGCAATTAGCCTACATTCATTGCATAATCAAAGCTGTTGAGAGCTTGCAAACTAGTAAAACATTTGCGAGGAAAGCAAGTATCTAAACATTATAGGGCTATTTAATTTAATTTTGACTGGATCTGGTAACCTAAAGCAACAATTGGACACTGCTGCTGCTGCAGCAGTTATGGTTATAAAGGCCAAAACCAGAGAGGTCCCCTCTTTCATGCTGATTATCCAAGTTAAGTAATCAAATGAGAAGTTTTAATTGGCATATCAGTTGGGAAAGTCAAGTCAAGTCACTTCTGACATTTCAGCTCACAAGCACTCATAGGAACGTCTTTCATATGTTTGGTCTCAGAGAATTCTCAATGTGTAGTGTCTGGTGTGGGTGGAATAGAGCAGAGGATAATGCATTCTGATATCATGAGACCATCAGAATCTACATTAGCTGAGATGCAGAACCTTTCCATAATTATCTGTACTTACAGAAGGGTGTTTTGATGAAAGAAATATAATTTGCAGGCAAATATACAGGATGAGGTGAACTTGAAATAGTGATATTTTCACACATTGCTTTCCCAGCTATAAGCAACCCTCTTGGTGCAAGATGTTATTCTGCCTACTGTGATTACACATTCATTGCACCCACTGGTGAGTAAACATGTACCCTTTATTTTTGGTAATAGAAGAATTAGTAAGCTTCCTAGTGTATGTGAATGTATGCAGCCATATTGTTTATTGAAAAATAACAAAAATATTATCTAGAAGGGAAATACATGAGTATTTAATTTTTCTTCCACTTGACAAAGTGTGAGGCTGTTGGGGTAAATTAAGTTCCACCCATGGTGTAAAACTGGGGCAGGGAAGGAGAGGTTCAGGCCAAACACGCTGGCATAGTTTAACATAGTGTCAATCTAGAAGGGAGGCTGTTGATCCTCTGATCATTGCTAGAATATAGTGTAATGGTTCCTTTGACACCTTTGTCTTTTATTTCATCAGTATGTAGTACATGACATTTTGTACTCGTGAAAGGTGCTGAACTGACAGGCCTTGAGACTGAAGTCTTCTCTTTGTACACATATCAGACGATACATAGACAAACACAGCAGCCCCTCTCTGCCTCTTTCTCTGTCTTTCCCACACTTCAACCGCTGTCTTGCTGCAGCTCTCTCGCATGACCACCATTTGAAGTGAAAAGATCCTCCCATCTCTGCAGCCACTGCTTGCTGCTAATCTTACCAGCAAGGTTGCTACCCTGAGTGAGTTCTGTGGGGCTTTTTTTTTTTTTTTGTGATACAGAAATGTATTTCCATGAATTTAGGTAATTCCAACTCATTTCATGTGGGTCACAGACTGTCCATTAGTCTGTAATATCTTTAGGTTACCAGTGACCCGCACTAGACTTGATCTGGTAACCTATAGCACAGGTAAAATGCTCCATATCCTATTTTCACTCCTGCTCATATATGAATTGTTCAGTATAAGGCTAATCATGCATACAAGAGAATTTTTTTTCTCTCTGAAGTGCACAGTAGATCTGTGTTTTTTCTCCTTGCAATCTGTTTGGAGCAGACAAAGGGGGTCATTAATGGGCAAAGTAGAAATTAAAGTTAATAAATTTGTGTCTTTATTCACACAGCACAGAATTCCCATTGGGAATACTGGATCCACCATACAGATCAGAGAGAACAATTTTGCCTGCAGTATGGACTTCCAATGGTTTTACCATTCTTGCACTTAGAGGGAAGAAAAATGTGGGGGAAGGAGTTATTGTCTCCTCTCAGTTTTTAATAATGTGACCTTATGGTGAAACAAAATATGAAACTATCCACATTCATAACCAACAGCTTGCAAAACTTAACTTCAAAGTGTATAGTTAGTTTCTGAAGTTTGCATTTTCCCAATGTATTTTCCAAAGATACATTTTATCTTTGTCCATCGGCTCCTTAAAAATAAAATAGTGCAAGTTTGAGAAAAAAAAGTTGCTGTCCTCAAATGAAAACCCACACATAATAAACTTATAACTTTTGTGTAATTTGCATTTAGCAGCAGAATATCTTGGGGTGGGATGGTGGTAGTGCAGGCACAAGGTTCAAAATTCCTGGAAAACAGATTTCTAATGAAAATTTTGGGCAAGGTCTCTCTGTTGCAAGTTACTTAAGTTTTTTTCAAAGAATATTTCAAGGACATACACTTCATATAACTTGTTAATTGTCATATTAATTATGAACAAAACCAGTAATATAAAAGAAATAAGTATATATATTTGTGAGAAAGACTGAAAAAGAACAGGGTTCTTAAAATATTTTTTACCTCTAAAATGACATAGGATAGGTTAATATTTTTGGTAGTAGCATCATATTCCTATTCCACTGACTCATACAAGGAATCATATGAGCATGTACTTAAATTATTTTTGTCAGGACTGCCGCTGCATTAAGGATGTGTTTAGTGATTAAGGGTAAAAAACTACCCCCTATCATTTTTCACACTTGCATTTACTCATACTTTCAGACTTGTCTCGGCTAGATCAAGTAAATTTTCCCTGAAAGATTGAGAACATATACAGCCCCACTCAGTCACAGTCCAGAAGGAATTCAGTTATTTCAAGAAGTCTCATTACACCAGATCCTTCTATTGCCTCCTGTTATTTATCTTTCAGTACTATCACCTTTTACTACCCTTTCTTCTTCCTTAATTCAAATTAATAAAGTCCAGCAGTGAATGATTCTTCAGTTCCTTTGAAATTTCTTTTGAAAGAGTGAGAAGTCCTCAAAAATCGCAATACTCATAAAATGGTTGAGGGAGAAAAAATCCTTTATTCTTTCCTCTAGACTTCAGTGACACTATGAAGTTTCACATAATTTGCAGACTGCATCTCATAAAATACTGGCAAAATTTATTCAATTCAAATTAAATAGATGTAGCACAGAGTAATCTTTCTCTATTAAATATGTCACTTTTTGCAATTGTTTCTTAATATCCCGCACAGCTTCCATCTAAGATTAGCACTTTCTTTGCTGCCACAGTTTCACTAACCTACTGAATTATTCACTGAAGCATAACCTTCAGATATCAGGTTAGAAAGACCTTGATTATGGCAGGAAGTGAACTGTATAAACCATTTTTCTTTAAAAGAAAATTTCTCAGTATAGAAAAGTCTGAAATGAGATAAGTATTAAATGTGTGTAAAAATTAAGTTCATAACTGATAGGAATTTAGTCAGCTGTGACATTCCTGTATTTTGTTTATAATAATGTACAATAACATTCTAGATACCACTTAATAGTGTAAAGCCACGTGCATTTTCATGGTGCTTATTTAAAGTACAAACCAGGGTATCCATGTTGGTCTCAGCTGTAAAGTAGAGATGTGGAATCTCTCACACAGATTTAACATACGGGACAAAGGATATTTACATCCAATTCCTGATTTTGTCCCACTTCCTGAAGATTACTTTTAAGGATCTCTCAGCTCCAGAAACCAGAAAATGGTGACAGAGTGGGAAGCTTCACTACAACAAACCACTGTTATTGCCCAATAATTTGTGCCAATCCACTGTTGAAAGGTCATTTGAACACCTACCAAAGAGACAACAGCTTTGGGAAAGCTTCCTTTGCAAGGGTTGAAATACAGACTCACCACTCACTTGTCTGCTTCTCATGACCTGTCCAATGGCACTCAGGAGCTGAAACGTAATTGTGAAGTTTTAACAGGCTTTTAGAGGTACTATGATAGCAAAATGTCAGGGCAAACAACATTCTACAAATTATTCTGCTAGTCAAGCGTACAAATTTTCATAATGACTTGACCTAGAATAGGAACAAAATGTGTTTTCCTAACGTGGGTGATAACTGCATAATTATGCAACTGATTCTGCTAATATTATTAGCCTTATGTTACTTTCCCAGATGTCAGAGAAATGGCACAGAAGGAGAAAACAGGTGGCAAGTTTGTTGGATGTTGCATATTAGTGCAGTTCATAACAGAATTTTCTATGCAGATTTGTTGACCGCGGTTTGAAGGACTGTAAGACAAACACGCTGCACAAGGATTTAACGTTTTGGGTGTAGCAGGGGCTCCAACAAATGTTGTGCTGCACTGTGAAATGTTCAGTTTCTAAGATGAGTTTAAACCTCTTGTTTCCTGATCTCTGTCTCTCTTTCTCCTAGTGTTGTTTTTGGTTTGCAGGGCTTTTTGAACATGTGAGAGTGTTACTTTTGGTCAGCTAAATTTGTATTGAATGTTTATGTGAATTTTTAAGTCAGGTACCATTTTATAAGAAATATAAGTAATGCAAAGAATACTATTGATTTTATAAACTTCTAAGAAAAGAGATATCTGTTGCTTTTCAAGAGCCCTTACACAATAAGAAGCATTTAAAAGCAGTGAGGGGAAGTCATAAAAATTGGGTTGACACTGTGGATATAGAGATTATTTTATTTTTTATGTTTTAATATATATTATGTATACATATGTCATAAGAACACATGCAGTTATGTATCCTTGTATACTTTTATTTAATAATTCAAATTTGCATTATTCTGTGTTTATTAAAGAGTTACTCCTTTGACAAAAAGATCTGCAGCTGTGACATTTGAATTGCAGACCAAACAACCATGCAAAAGAATTAAGTTTTCTATTTGGGAAAGAGGCTAAAATGTGTATTTAGGGAAATTGATCATTTTAGATTTAGAAATATATGTTGGAAGACACTGTGGGCACGACTTACAGTATATTGTTCATTTCAGTCAACTGCATCCACTGAAGCTGCCTGGGAATTGTATTGAGAGGGCTTGCAATTCCTAAGTTCCTGCAATTTTTCCTTTTAGTAAAGCATGCTAGTAATCTTGTCAGGCTTAAAATAATTGGAAGCAAAATACAAAATCAGCACTGAAAATGGAAGTAAAAGACAGAAGAGATTGTGGTAGTGGTTCCTCCAATAAAATAGACAAAATGAACATTTCATTATGTGCCTGGTCATTTCATGATAATCTGAAACCCTAATTAAAGGGAATTCTATTAAATTGATTTTTTACTTTCTTTTTTTAAATTTTCCCCAATTAATTGATCTGCCATCAAGCCAGCAAAAACGTTGTGTAATCTGAGGCAAGCTACCTTTGTTTAAATTTTTACCCTATCTCTTTTCACTGGAATGTTTTGAAGAAGCGCCTGGCTGTTAACATGTAGAAAATTTGCCTCTAGTGGAGTGATATAACCCAAAATATGGCAAAAAACTGCTTTCTCTGAAATGGCTTTATTAATTTCTGATTCTGCATATGCATTTTTGTAGAATTCTTTAGAGTTGGAAATAAACCATAGAAATAAAATCTCTGTTGAAAAATGGAAAAATATTGCATCAAAACTTGCTGTTCATATTAGGACTTTGTGTAATTGATGGACAAGTGTGCACTTCGAAGTGTATACACTTTCTTCAGATTTGTAGGCATTTGGAAGGTTAAAAGCAGACATATGTTACAGTGGTTGCCAATGGCAACCCCTGTGATTTGGGTTGGGTTCAAACAGCCAATCAACCCCACTTGTCCCCACTTGGTGACTCCCAAAGCCAGCCATGCTGTTGGGGGGATGACATTTTACATGTGTGTCTAGTTGTCTCTTATGTATGTATTTATCTAAACATTTATATTTATTCCATCACCACATTACACAAGTGTGAATGAATCTTGGCTGACAACTTAGCAGTAAGGAATGGACAGGGATATTGTCTTTCTCATTTAACTAGTGAAGAGTGAACTAAGATTTTAAGACTTACAGAAAGTTTCAAAGAAAATAGAGTTCACTGCTGGATATTGCTGCTGAAGTGTCTGAGGCTTTATCTGCTTTTCCCTTTTTTCTTGTGTCCTTGCAGAAACATGCCTGAGTCTTCTGTGCCAGCGACTCCTTTGGATTGCTACCAGGAATGATATGTTGGTTCTTAGAAACAGCTTTGGGTTTCCTAGCTTTTATAATAACAGGTTGTTTTGTTGGGTTTTTTTTTTTGTATGATGGCATTCAGATTTTTAGGCATATGTGTGTGCCTGTATGTGCATATTTGTTATTCTTGGAATCGTTAAATATTCACTGTCATCACATATTCATAACAGACATTTTTTGTGATAAATTGTATATGCTATTTGGTAATAGCCAAGATACTTCAGGATCTAGCTGTAGTTACACTGTGGAAGTGGAAGCTGTTACAAAAAAAATCTATTTCTTTTCTCCTTAAACAGCTCATAGATACATCCTCCAGTCACAATGGGATTGGTAGAGGACTTGTGAAGCCATGCCCCAAGGCAGGCAAACTGCACCTAAGGAGATCTAAATGGTTATCCAGATAACATGAAATGGAAATGCTTTTCAGACATTGCTAAGCAGCTTGGATAAGATAAAAAGAAACCTCTGAACCATACTTTGTGTCCAAACTTAGTCCAGTCTTGAACCTAATATCTACAGTGACCCCTTTCCCTCCTGCCTACACTGCCTCTCCAAAGCTTGACTCTGTTGTGCATTAGAGGGGAAGAAGCAAATATGAGGCAAATGTATACAAGTCTGTTGCTGGTAACTTTCAAATCTTTGATCACGTTCTGCAGGAGACAAGGCACAGTCATTGCTAGACTCTCTGAAATGGGTGCTGTTGTTCTGATTATCCAGCACAACTTCAATCATTTCCTTTTGATGGCTCATGCTTTCTGAGGCACATCCCTGAAAGTGCATGGTTAAGCCTCTTGGACAATCACATGCAAAAGTGATTTTTAGAAGTAATGAGGAATATAGGCAAATAGCTATAAATACAATTTACTGTTATGTGTCAAGACCTCCTTTCCTTAGTCCCCAGAGATCTGTTCAGCATAAGAATGATAAAACAGCTGAACAGAGGTACAGTCTAGCTGCCCTCTTCAGAGTCCTGCATCACCTGTTCTGGCTAAGGGGTTTCTGGTAAGCATCTCTAAATTGTGAAATTGTTCAGGACAATTGTTCAGTTAGTGATAACTATATGCATAGTGAGGGATTTTCACAAACACATGTGGGTGTTTCTAACAGAAAATTATGTATTATTATTCTGAATGTAGCTTGAGGGGCTCAGTAAGGACCACAACAGGTTTCATAGTCCTGTGTACATGCAAATGGCACCCTTTAAGAGAGGCAGTCTCTCTCTTCTCCTAAACATGGGGAGGTGTGAAGTGAACTCTCTGCTTTCTGGTGTGAGCTGCTATCGGCATCCATCTCCTGCTTCCTCCCACCCTGCACTATCATGACTAATATACCTGCACTACAGTAAAATTCTCCTCTTAGCAAGCCAAGAAGACTAAACTTCAGATCAGGAAGCCATTGTAAATATATTTTATTGACTTGTGCTGGAAAAAAACCAAAGCTGGATAAACTATCTCCCAGACACATGAAATGGAGATGATCATGAGAGAATGGTGAAAGAAAAAGGTCACAAGGAGCATTGTGAAGAGTTTAAAAAAAGAAAAGAAAAAATCAGAATAATAAAAGGGGGAATGTATTTAAAGATTGCAAGAAAAGGGAGCTGATGGAGGTAGATTCAATATTTACAAATGTGAGTGAAAAATTAATTTGGAAGGAAATTACACCAAAGGGGCTATGGAAAGGAAACTAGTAGGAAAGGAGGAAGGAGGGGGGTGAGCAGGAGAAATGGCTGAGGGAAGAACAAAAGAAAGAACAAAGAAGAGAACAAAACCTATCTTACTCTGCAGTTATTGTATTTTGGCGATAAATATTTGCAGGTGGTTACAGTAGTTATTTCCCCACTTCTCCTCCCCTTTTTCCTTTCAGAACCAGCTCACAAATCAGTAAAATATCCAAAACAGATGAAACTGAAAAAAAAAGTGAGTTCTGCATCTAAAAGCAAACCAGTCACTCCACAACATCCACATCACTGTAATGATGTTTTCCTCTTTCTCAGTGCTGGGAGGCACATGGAACTGACCCGTCCTCATATTACACTAAACTTGAAGCAGCCTCTCTCTTTTACAAACAAACAAAGAATACAAGTTTTTCTTTGAGCTCATTCACAGATCCTGGGCTTGTTGCTGTTTGTGCGTTAATGTTTTCAGCTGCGCTTGGCATTTGTTAGCATTTGTGCATTTACTATTTTTATGCATACTATTAGTAACATACAAATGTGAAATGTTTCTGGGAACTTGCCCCATTTCAGTCATTCACACAATTCTGTGCCCACAGGGTGGTCCAGCTTTCCTCTTTCTCTATCTGCTGGGGACCTTGGGGCTGTGAATATCTTTTTTTTTTTTTAGCTGTACAGGTTTGGAAGGAAATCAGAAAAGGTTTTCAAGTGCATCTCTTGCATATATCTATCATTTCTCTGATAATCTGTGCTCGTGGTTGTGCTGCATTTGTGTATGGCGGCGGCAGTTTCACCTGCCCACTTTTATGTGTCATTAGTTGTCACCGTGCCACTGTGACTGTGTAGACAAGTCTTCACCGAGAGCAGCTTCGGCATCGTGTCTGGGCCTTGTAAATCCTGGCAGCAGTGCTATGAACGCTGCAAAGGCTTTGTGACAAAATAGAAAAATGACAATTAATGATGGCTGAATTCGGGAGACAGAGCAGGAACACGCTTTGGTTGCGCAGAAAGATGCATTTAGGGGCTTTCAAGCACGAGACAACACTTTACATTTCAAGCTACGGTTTTAAAGCCTGATAGAGA